TATGATCTCTAACTCTTTGAGTGGCTAAAATGATGTCATAATACTGTCTGTGACTCATCGTTTATTTGCTTCTGTGATCCTATGTTGAACAGCAGTCTGCGTGTATATGTATGTGAGCTGGTAATGGAGCTTCAACTCGGGGTCTCACATTCTTGCTTAGTTATTTCACCCCTGGCAAGCATTCTATCACTTAAGCCATGACGCCAATTCCACTGGCTAATTGGAGATAAGAGTCTTGAGGATTTCTCTGCCTGGGCTGGCTTGGAACTGCAATCTTCATAACTAAGATGACAGGCATGACTTCCACTTCCACCTTGTTGCTCATTAATTGGACATAAATCTCAAGGATCTCTCTGCCTGGTTGAGAATCATCAAGCCTGGTGAACTAGGAATATGGAGATAAATCTTCTGACTTACATGGCAGCTGTAAGCACATCGAGCATGCCCTGGTGATGAGTGAAATCCAAGAGAGTAGGAACTGCTGACTGCTCTTGAAAATGAAAACATCTTGGAGAGAAAAAAATTCCCTTAATGGTGTGAATAGATGTGGTGTCCGTGATGGTATTCTCTACCGGTTCTCGAATCCTTCCACATCTCTGCCCACCTTCACAGCTGTTCAAGAACTGCACAGGATCTGTGGCAAAATATGCCAGAAACACTAAGAAGTTCTGTGTACTAGTGTTCAAGGAGACAGTTTTCCCCCAATTATCAAAAAAAAGTCATCAAAATCAGGTTAGGGAAGTAGTTATCATTCATGTCTCCCCCCATTATTAAAGTAAAAGATGATCTTATTAAGTTTAGATTAGGACATAATTCTTCCCATTCTTCAAATTCTTTTTGGGTTTTCTTCCATCTTTAATTTCCATGGCATGATAATGGGTAACAATATAGGCTAAAGAGAAAAGCCAGTTCATATTCCAGATTTCATCTTGCAATGAGCATGAGGATTTCAAATCAATTTATTCAATGGAACAGTTCAGTCATTGGAAAATATTGAATGGAAACACATCTGCCTGTTTCATTCTGTTCAGAGCTAAATTATTACCTAGCATTCGATATGCAGCCCTATAAAAAGCTCCTAGTTCTGTGGTAGTCTATATATGTAATTAAACATGACTACTCTGTATTAATAACATTCTATGTATTATTTAAAAGTATCTCAGTGCTTTGCTCTTTCTAAAAAAAAAGCAGGGAGTGGTGCTGTAGCTCAAGTGGTGGAGCGTTTACCTTGAGCTGAAGAGCTAAGGGACAGCGCCCAGGCCCAGAGTTCAAACCCCATGACCGACAAAAAAAAAAAAAGCAAATCCTGATTTTACTTAAAAATATTTTTTACTGTTTTACTTAAATAATCTCTTCCTTTCTTTCTCCCTCCCTCCCTCCCTTCCTTTCTTCCTTCCTTCTCCTGTATTGGGGCTTGAACTCAGTGCCTGAGTGATGTCCTTTTGCTTTCTCCACTCAAGGCTAGCACTCTACCATTGAGACACAGCACCATTTCTGGCTTTTTGCTGGTTAATTGGAAGTAACAGTAACAGACTTTCCTGATTACACTGGCTGCAAACTGCTATCCTCAGATCTCAGACTCCTTGAGTAGTTATGATTACAGGCATGAGCCACCAAGCTAATCTCTTCGTTTGATCACACTGAACATCTAAAATATCAAAAGAGACTCAGCTGGCACAGACACTTCCAGTCTCTTTCACTCTATATCTTGGCTGGATTTTTTGTTTGATTTTCTTAAGCCATCAGCAGCGCTGTCAAGGCCCAAATCTTTAGGTTTATGCTCATTATTCTTTCTCCTTCGTCCCATTTTCCATCTCTTTTTTGTATCTTTGCATGTCCCACAATCCATTTGGTATGCATCATTCACACTCCTGAATTTACTCAAAATGTCATCCTATTCTCTTTGAAGTTCGTCGCATCTATACGAATGGCTTGACTCCACTCCAAACCAAAACAGGATGTTGAACACGATGTCTGAATTAAGAGTTTTCCTCCTGTCTAAAAAGTACATGAAAGGGTTATAGCTGAGAAAGTAAGATAAGCTTTAGTTTCTAAGTTCAGAGACCTTGGTGGTTGCTGTGTAGTTAGAGACAGTTACTTTCTTAAAGCACCTGCTGAATAAAATAATCTCACCATGACTGTTTCACTTTGGACTGAAAGTGAATCATCTCTAAGGAGAGATGACAATGACTTTTAATCCCACAAGTTTTTATTGAAGCTTACAGGGGTCTTCTCTTTCATCAATAGGCTTTTCTTTGTTTCTGGAATAGTTGTCCCGGTTAAACAGATCCACAGGGGGAGGGGGGGGGACGGTCACAAACATGTCAGGTCAAAGTTTGTGATAGTAAGACCCATTTTTTTGCTGGCCAAGATTTTTTTTTTGGGGTCCGGTCGTGGGGCCTGAACTCTGGGCCTGGGTGCTGTCCCTCAGCTCTTCAGCTCAAGGCTAGCGCTCTACCACTTGAGCCACAGTGCCACTTCCGGCCTTTTTTCTTTTTGCTTATGTGGTGCTGAGGAATCGAACCCAGGGCCTCGAGCATGCAAGGCAAGCGCTCTACCACTGAGCCACTTTCCCAGCCCCCTGGCCAAGATTTTTTAAATGGAATTGCTAACTAGCAAGAAAAAGAACACAAAAGCACAACTACTATGAACATTTGTATTGAATTTATTAATTGAATTGAAACTAATATATATTTTTAAACCAGTTACCTATGCAAAAAGGAATACATTAGCTGGGTGCTGGTGGCTCACAACTGTAATCCTAACTACTAAGAAGGCTGAGATCTGAGGATTGCAGTTCAAAGCCAGTGCAGGCAGGAAAGTCTGTGAGACTCTTATCTCTACCCAGCAAAAAGATGGAAGTAGAGCTGTGGTTCAAGTGGTAGAGTTCTATTCATTAGTAAATCAGGAACAGTGCCTGAGTTCAAGCCTCAGTACCATCACACACCACACACACACACACACACACACACACACACACACACACGGAAATTAGTGTCTGAGTCATTTGACAAACATTTACTGGCTGCTTCCTAGCTGTCAGGGAAGATTACTTTCAAGTTACATCTTGGAAATTCTTGGGGAGACTAAGAAATATACATTTAATTTCCTATATTTCTTCTAACCTCTCTTATTTGAAGCCATACAGAAATGTCTGCACTTTTGCTAAACAGTAAAAGAACGTATCCATTTAAGCCCATACAGCCAATGACTATTATTTAGAAATAAAATTCACTCACACTGAGTTATGTAAGCAGGAAAACACAGACATCTCAGAGCCCTACAGTCACTAGTTTTGGGATTTCGTTTTTTGTTTTTGGTATCTTTGTACACCCTACTGCTTTTAGATGACTTAGTTATGACAGAACTAGACACCATTCCTGAAAGCAGATCAGTGACTCACAGCCAGGGTTAGACAGGTTCAGAGAGGGAAGGAGATTACAAAAACAAATTATTCCTTCTTACCTCCTTCCACCCCTAGTCTCATTCACTTAATGCAGCTCTTAGCACGAATCACTGAGTCATCTCTGAGGAAGAGAAATTACAGGGGACATCCATCCCCACAGCAATCCATTTTTATTTTCTTAACCACAGTGAGCAAGTCATCATCTAAGGAGTAGAAATAATAGAAATAGAGGCCATTATTCAGCTGGGTCATCAACACTTGAGTATAGAATTTATCTACCTTGTTTTAATAATGAAAAATCAGACACAAAACCTGCCATCTTACCCATATTTAGTTGTATGATTACTGCTAATTACATTCTTATCAACCTGCTTTCCCTTGCATCCATCTTTCTACTTTCTGTCTATGGATTTGACTACTTCAGGCACCTCATATGAATATAATGGCACATTGTGTTTTTGTGACAGCTTATTTCACATGGCATTATGTCCTCAAAGGTCATTCTTGTAACATCTGCCCATTTCCTTCCTTTTTAAGGCTGAATAGCACCCTACTGTACATACATATCACATTCCCTTTTGTGCTGGTACTGAGGTTTGAACTCAAGGCCTTGAATTCTTGCTCAGTTTTTTTGTTCAACGCTGGTGCTCTGCCATTTGAGTCACGACTCCACTAACAGCTTTTTGTTGGTTCACTGGACTTTCCTGCCTAGGCTGGCTTTGAACCTCAATCCTCAGATCTCAGCCTCCTGAGTAGCTGCAAGCCACTGATGCCCTGGCTACTCTGATTTATCTTCAATCGATATTTTGAGTGGACCCCTCATCTTTTAGCCACTTTGATAACTTGAAGCTCTGTTTCTACAGTCTAGACGTATCATCTCAACGCTATTTAAGCCTTACTTCTCCTCCTTCTCCTCATCCTGTCCTAGCACAGGCCAGACTTTCTGCCGCAGGTTTTCACTGAGCTCCACAGGCAGCAATAAGGGCTCACAGACAGAGGGGAAGACATAGTCTGGTCCTGAGATCCTCTGCAGCACCGTCTCCGAAGGTTTTCATTCCTCTGGAGAACTGGGTTGAGGTGAAGGGGGGACAGAGGTCTCTCATGTACATGACCTTCAGCCTGGTACTAGGAATTTCTCTCTCTCTCTCTCTCTAGTTGTTTTGGCATGTTGCATGGCTCTCCTGAGACATCCAAGCATCACGCTGAGCCTTCCCTGTCACTCAGCTTCCTTGGAGAGACACAGCCCACAGCTCAATCTGGCCCAACCAGCTCCCTCCTTGCCCAGTAACCTTGCAGGCAACTCGTATCAGGAGTCGTCTAGGCTGAACTCAGTATGGGATCAGTAATCATCGCTTCCTCCAAGTCCCGCCCACAAGTATTTTGTGGGAGGGGGCAAAGCGTTCATTCCGAATATTCAACCTTTTCTACAATGCATTAATAACTGCTACTTAAGAGGGGCAAAAAAATTCCAAATACACTCTCAAAGCAGCCATCGAAGAACGTTTTAAGACTTTCATGAGTGTCCTTGCAGGTGGGGGGGAAGGCGAAAGAACGCTGGTACGCCAGGAGAGGAGAACGAGATACAGACCTCCACGGTGGCTAGAGCGGCCACGGAGAGCAACAGCAACTTCCGGGGCGGGGCTAGGCGGCCCCCTCTCTCTTCCGCACAGGGAATGTGGGCCGCCCGCACCGCTAAGTTCCGTCACTGCTTGGCCGCGTCTTCCGTCAGTCTGAGACGGTGCCTGAGACTGGGGGTGACCATGGCAAAGAGCAAGTTTGCGTACGTGCGGGACTTCGAGACCGACGACACCTGCCTACCTCACTGCTGGGTGGTCGTGCGGCTGGACGGCCGGAGCTTCCACCGGTGAGCTAGCTGGGCGCGGGACCGCGCGCTCGGCCGGCACTTCCGGGAGAGTTACGGTTTCCACGGCAACGCGGCAGCCAATGAGCGCGCGGCCTGGCCGGCCGTCTGGGACCGGGCTTCCGGTGCTGGCTTGACTAAAGGTGTTCAGTGGGGACTAGGTACTCAGCAAGTGAGCAGCTGGTCTGGAGTGCTCATGTCAAGTGAACAGAGCCTCCTAACAAGAACGTGATTGGTGGGGAAAGCATCATTATTGAAGAGAGGAAGAAGAGGGGGAGGATGCAGTCATATTAGTCAATGCATAGCCTGTGAAATTAAGAAAATTGACGGGAGGGGTTGGGCTGGGAGGGGTCAGATGATGAAAGGGACGACATCGATCGAGATGCATTCAAAAACCGATTTGTTGAATGGCAACTCCTTTGTACAACTTAAAGATAATGCAGATCCGTATTTTAAAAAAAACCATTATTTAGGCTGGTAAGCCGACTTTCCAGCTATCCTGTGTATTTGTCTTTTTCTGTGCTGCTCAGAGACCTGGGCCTGGCTTTATGGTTATCAGGAACAGGCCACCCAGACTGGATTGGAGAGTCAGAAAGAAGGGAGAAAATATAACAAAGATTGGAATTTAGTTTTTTTAAAAAGGTTACTTTGTTAATAGTTATCTTTGTAACCAATATTTATAGAGTACTCAATAGGAGGCAGGCCTAAAATCTTCTGGGCACTTCAATGAAGTAAATTCTCTATCTCCCTTTCACAGAAAAGGGAACTGAGGCTTAGAAATTATGTCCCTTTTGGTAAGGAAATGTATTGTAGCTAGCTAGCTACACTGTTACAGTATCTTCTTTGACCTGCATCAGTGTTCTGTGTAGTAAATGGCAAACCTGTGTGAACAATGGCAAACTTGTCTATCCCTGCCCTTTTCCCTCTTCTCTCCTTCTATGAAGGTTTGCTGAAAGACACAACTTTGCCAAACCTAATGACAAACGAGCTCTCCACCTGATGACCAGATGTGCCCAGACTGTCATGGAAGAATTGGAGGACATTGTACTGGCATATGGACAGAGCGATGAGTACAGCTTTGTGTTCAGGCGGAAGAGCAATTGGTTTAAACGAAGAGCCAGGTACTCCCACAGACTGCCTTCTTTCTGCAGAACCTTTCTTCCAGCACCTGCTTTTTCTGTTGCTTTGGCTGTAGCTGAGACCTCACAAAGTACAGATGATGTCTGCAGGATTTGTACTGGCAGAGTGTGTGCATATTACCTGTACATATATACATTTGTGCCAGTACTCAGGACCTTGTGTTTCTCCTTGGCTTTTCCCTATTAATAGCTGGCACTCTGCCACTTGAGCCACACCTTCAGCTTTTTGCTGGCTAATTGGAGATGAATGTCTTGAGGATTTTTGTTTCCAGACTGCTTTTGAACCATGATCCACAGATCTCAGCCTCCTGAGTTGCCAGGATTGCAGACATGAGTCACCAGCACCAGGCATATTTCCTCCATCTGAGTGTTTATCTGTGTTCTTTGTCTGATTCCTTCCCCTCTGTATCCCATCAGATAAGGTTCTAGACTGGTCTGGTATGTTTAAACTAGAAACAAAGCTGAGCATGGTGGCTCATGTCTATAATACCCCACTCAGGAGGCTGATTACGAGTTCAAGGCTAGCCTCGATACATGATGAGACCCTTCCTCAAAACACACACACAAAATCATGTAGACACATATTAAAATGGTCTGTAGGTTAGCTTTAGCCAGTGTAAATCCTGCATGCATTGCACTATTATTTAAACCTTTTTTAAAAACTGGTTTACATAGTTATGCAGAGGGAGATTTCATTGTTACTTTTACAGTATATTCCGATTCCTCTTACCTCTTCCAGCACTCTTTTTTTCCCCTCTATTTAAACTTTCAGTTAAGGAGGGTCTACGTGTAAAAGAGACAAATCTAGGATTTAATTTGGCAGTATTTTGGAACTTTTACAAGAAAAAAGTCATATAATGAATTGGTGTGTTTTTAAAGCAATGGTTCATTTCTACCCAAGACTCAAAAAGGATAAACAAAACCCTTTTAAAACTTATTATCTTTTAAGTAGGTATACAAAAGAATATCAATTCAACATGTCAGTTTATGAATACAGTGCATCTAAATACAAAAAAAACCCCAACAATTAAACCACAAATTTACATCACATCCTACAGAGAAAAGTTGGTGTTAGTAACTAGATAGATCTGGTGGGAGAGATAGCCTACCTTTAAAATAATGTAACTGAAGTACTAAAACAGTTTGGCTTAGCTGAAGGTATATTATCTCCCCATTCACGGGCAGTTTGTGTAACCTCTCTGTTGTGTACCAGAGGTCCGGTCAGCACGGAATGAATGTCTTACATTGTTTTCTTCTCTTGCTCCACCCTTCATGCTTTCCATTTGCAAGTAAGTTCATGACTCTTGTGGCCTCGCAGTTCGCCTCCAGTTACGTGTTTTATTGGCCAGAGTACTTTGAGGACCAGCCGCTTCTGTATCCCCCAGGCTTTGATGGAAGAGTCGTGGTCTATCCAAACAACCAAACCTTAAAGGACTATCTCAGCTGGCGGCAGGTCGATTGTAAGTGGCACCGTATACAGTTTGGCACAAATAAGTGACAGGTGTTGATGTGATCCAGGTTTGGCTAACAAGTATTTTGTTTGGAATGTAATATTTACCAAAACACACATTCTCTCTCTCTCTCTCTAAGACAGAGAGGAGTTTTTGAACCATGATCCACATATATATACATATACATACATATGTGTGTGTGTGTATATATATATTATATATATATATATATATATATATAATATATATATATATAATTTTTCAGACAAGATCTTGCTATGTAGCCTAGGCTGGCCTTAAACTCAAGATCCTCCTGTCTTAGTCTCCCAAGTGCTGTGATTATAGGTGTCTGTTACCACACCCAGCTTAAAAAATTTTTTTTAGTGAAAAATGTTTGACAAATTAGGGAGATTTCTTATGAAAACTGTCTGGTTTTGTTGTTGTTTGCTTGTTTTTTTTGTGTAGTGCTGGGGCTGTATTCTCGAGCCTTTGCACTGGCAGCTGCCTTCTTGCTGTGACACTAGAATGGCAGTGTGCCACACAGTCTCTGCCACCTCCTTTTGTTCCCTGGGGGCCACCCACTGCTGTGCACATTTAAAAAAAAAATTGTACAAGATGAAAAATTAAGCCAGGCATTGGTGGCTCACTTGTGTAATCCTAGCTACTCAAGAGGCTGAGATCTGAGGATCACGGTTCAAAGCCAGCCCAGGCAGGAAAAGCCATGAAACTCTTATCTCCAATAAACCACCAGAAAATCAGAAGTGGTGCCGTGGCTCAAGTGGTAGAATGCTAGCTTTGAGTTGAAGAGCTGAGGGACAGCTCTCAGGACCAGAGTTCAAGCCCCATGACGGGGGAAACAGAAGGTGAAAAATTCAGCCTTTGAGTTTGCAATCAGAACTTAGAATAGAGAGAGGTAAATATTTTTAAGTTCACACTATGCATCCTCGCTCATTACTAAAGCATTTTTTTTTTCTTCTGATACTGATCCTAGGGCTTCAAGAATTCAGGACCTAGGCTCTGTCCCTGAGCGTGTGTGTGTGTGTGTGTGTGCACATGTGTGTGTGTGTGTGTGTTTAATGTTATTATAAAGGTGATGTACAGGGCTGGGAAGGTGGCTCAGTGGTAGAGCGCTTGCTTTGCATGCATGAGGCCCTGGGTTTGATTCCTCAGCACCACCTAAGCAAAAAGAAAAATGGTGATGTACAAAGTGGGTACAGTTATATAAGTCGGGTGAAGAGTACATTTCTTTTTGGACAGTGTCACCTCTTTCCTCGATCTCTCTCCCAGTATTTCCCTTGCGTCCCACCCACAAGTTGTGTAAGTTCATTTTCAGCGTGCTGTCCAGTGAGCCCCACTGCTGCATTTGCTCACCTGCCATGCACATATGTGGGTATTTGAATCCTGACATCTGCCGTATGTGACTGGTGTCTGTGAGACTTTGACTCGTTTGGTGTAGTCTGCTTTTGTCAGAACTGGGAAAGAGATTGGGATAATACCAATGACTTTGCAGATATCCAGAACATGAACTCCCAGGTTCACAGGTTTGTGTAAGGGATTACTGTAATCACCCAGCAGAGCTGTGGTCAGGAAGTTAGTTCTTTCTGCCTTCCCCTTCTCTTAGAAACACCCAATGTAGCCAGGCATTGGTGGCTCACGTCTATAATCCTAGCTACTCAGGAAGCTGAGATCTCAGGATCGCAGTTCAAAGCCAGCCTGGGTAGGAAAGTCCATGAAACTTTTTTTTTGGTTGGTTGTGGGGCTTGAGCACTGGGCTTGGGCACTGTCCCTGTGCTCTTCAGCTCAAGGCAAACGCTCTACTACATGAGCCACAACACTACTTCCAGTTTTGTAGTGGTTTATTGGAGATAAGAGTCTCATGGCCTTTCCTGCCCAGGCTGGCTTTGGACTGTGTTCCTCAGACCTCAGCCTCTTAAGTAGCTAGGATTACAGGTATGAGCCACTGGTACCCAGCCTGTGAAACTCTTATTTCCAATAAACCATCAGAAAACTGGAAGTGGCGCTGTGGCTCAAGTACTGGAGTGCTAGCCTTGAGTTGAAGAGCTGAGGGACAGCACTCAGGCCCAGAGTTCAAGCCCCACGACCAACCAAAAAGAAAAAAAGAAGCCAGCAAATGTTACTGAGCTCTCCACTTAAAGAGAGGGGCAGGCCTCTTATATTTCTGGAGGGATAGGTATTAAAGATCTTTCAAATATAAACTGCGTCGTGTTGTTCTTACAGGTCACATCAATAATCTTTATAACACGGTTTTCTGGGCACTGGTACAGCAAGCTGGACTCACGCCTGTACAAGCCCAAGAGAGACTCAAGGTAAGAGAGATTTCACTGCACAGTGCCGAGCCAGACAGTGTGCTGCCTCTTTCCCTAACATTATTTTAGGTTCCCTTTATGTTCTTTAGCTCCCTTTATAGCTTTGTTGGTTGTTGTTGTTTTGTGTCATACTGAGGCTTGAACGAATGCCTGAGCATTTGATCCTGAGCTTTTGTGCTCAGGGCTAGCACTTTCTACCACTTGAGCCACAGCTCCACTTCCAGCATTTTGCTTGTTATTGGAGATCAGAATCTTGCGCACTTTCCTGCCTGGGCTGGCTTCAATCTGTGATCCTCAGATCTCAGCCTCCTGAGTAGCTAGGATTGCAGGAGTGAGACCAGCGGCCCAGCTTCATGCAGGGCCCTGGTGGGCATCGCAGCGTGTAGTAATAGTCTGTGCCCTGGGTAACCAGCCACACAGGAACCACGCTTCTGCCAGGCTCTCATCCCCGCCTCAGTTCTTCCACACTGATCTGTAGAAAACATAGTTCCAACCCCGCAGGCACAGCACCTGTCACACAGACTATGAAGCACCCTGTCAGCGTGTGATAGAGCCTGGCTTTTCTTGCTAGGGAACAGGTCACAGCAGGCTGTCTGACTCTGACACAAGGTGACATGGCCGCCACCGCTCCTGGTTTCGCCTTGAGCATAATGTGGTGGTTGTAATTGTCAAATATACTACGGGTGAAGATTTCTCTATGGCGTAGGAAGACTCGAAGGTGTGTGCAGGTGGAGGAACCTCATTAGATCCTGACTCTCAGAAGAATGGAGATAACTGTCAATCTCAGGCAGTTTGCTCAGTCTCGCCAAGCCCCAGTGTTCTTGTCTCTAAAGCGGAAGCGGCACAGTGATGGAATAGTAAAAAGAAACACAAAGATTACGCCAGTGGGGCTGGGAAGGTAGCTCAGTGGTAAAGCGCTTGCCTTTCATGCTCGAGGCCCTGGGTTTGATTCCTCAGCACCACATAAGCAAAAAGAAAAAAGCCAGAAGTGGTGCTGTGGCTCAAGTGTAGAGCGCTAGCCTTGAGCTGAAGAGCTGAGGGACAGTGCCCAGGCCCAGAGTTTAGGCCCCACGACCAGACCCAAAAAAAAAAAAAAAAAAGATTACACCAGTGATATATTGCCCCACATGTTCACGAACAATTGTGTCTTCCTCCCCTTGGAGCATCACTGGCAAAGCCAGTGTTTGCTACAGAAAAGTTTTTTCCATGTGGACATGGTGATAAAATTTGAATTGCTCTTAAGATAATACTCATTTATTAATGAGCCTGCACTGGTGGCTCACACCTGTAAGAGAACTAGAGGATCATGATTCAAAGCCAGCCCAGGCAGAAAAGTCTGAGAGACTTTGTCTTCAACTTCACCAGCAAAAAGCTGGACTAGAGGCATGTCTTCAGTGGTAGAGCACCAGCCCACAGCAAGCAGGCTGAGCAAGAGTACAAAGTCTTGAGTTCTAGTTCCAGTACTTGCGCAGAAACCCAAACCAGTATTTAATCAAATCTTTCCACTCAGTGACGAGTGCTGGGGAAGAGAGAGGACATGCGGTTTCTCCATCCCGCTTTCTGTGTTTCCCGCAGGGAACGGTCGCAGCAGACAAGCAGGAGATTCTGTTTTCTGAGTTCAACATCAACTACAACAATGAGCCGCTGATGTACAAGAAAGGGACAGTGTTGATATGGCAGAAGGTAATGCTGCTATGCTGTGTTAGGACAAGTAACTGTGGACCTCTTGGGCTTTGCTGGCCTGCCCCTGTGCTAGCCTGACGCTAGGGGTACACACCAGATCCTCCCCTGGGTGGTGCCATAGATCGTTGGTGAAAGCGCTCATGTGGTCATCTGTGATGCCCTGCCATCTCCCCATCTGTTGGTAAAATCATGGAAGTTTTACATTCACATGCTTATTTTTCTTTCTTCCTTTTCTTTCTTTCCCCTCCCTCTCTGGGGCTTGAACTCAGGGCCTGGGCACTGTTCCTGAGCTTCATCTGCTCAAGGCTAGCACCCTGCCACATGAGCCACAGCGCCACTTCTGGCTTTTTCTGTTTCTGTGTTACTGAGGAATGGAACCCAGGGCTTCACGCATGCTAGGCACGGATGCTACCACTAAGCCACATTCCCAGTCTCACGTGCTGATTTTTCTTTGTAGGAAGCTCTCCCATTTCAAGCCCCTCCCTGGGGGCACAATACAAATAGAAAGATGTTTGCATTTGTAGAACATTTTAAACCATAAATGGTCCTGTAATATTTACACTTTGTAACTTTCAGAAATTCCGTGAAGCTGAGCGCTGGTGGCTCACGCCTGTAATCCTAGCTACTCAGGAGGCTGAGATCTGAGGATCGAGGTTCAAAGCCAGCCCGGGCAAGAAATTCCATGAGACTCTCCAATAAACCACTCAGAAAACCGGAAGTGGCACTGTGGCTCAAGTGGTAGAAAAAGAGAAATTCCATGAAACTGGGCGTTGACAATCACTTCTGTGCTTCCTGATGCATCTCTGCATTGGCTTACGCCCTCCATCGTCTTGCTGTTTTCTCTCCTCAGTTCTCAGTCACAGTTCTCTAACTCTGCTTTCTTCCATATCACTCAGTTCTCTGCTGTGAACGAGGTTCAGGTAGTAAAGGACGCTGTAAGAGCTGCTCAAGCCGCTCATCATCCCCCCCCCCCCCATGTCAGCTTTGTGACTGACATTTGCAGAACTCCTTTGCTCTCTGGGACGGCCTGACCACTTCTTCATGCTGGTGGGAGAGGAGAAATACTTTTAATAACATTTTCAGTGCTTGTGAGAAAAGGTGCAGTCCTTTCTTTGTTCTTACTATGGTGATCTTTGGGAATATAGTAACGTAACATTTTTTAAATGTTTATTTACTTTTCGGTTGTTTTGTGGTGCTATCAAACCCAGGGCCTTCTGGGTTCGTTCTAGGCAGGCTCTGTACCGTGGAGCTACATCTACAGCCCTAATGCACTTTTTCTTTTTTTTTTTTTGCCAGTCGTGGGGCCTGAACTCTGGGCCTGAGCGCTGTCCCTCAGCTCTTCAGCTCAAGGCTAGCTGGTAGGAGCCACAGTGCCACTTGAGCCACAGCACCAGCTTTTTCTGCTTATGTGGTGCTAAGGAATCGAACCCAGGGCCTCAGGCCTGCAAGGCAAGCGCTCTACCACTGAGCCACTCTCCCAGCTCCTTTTTTTTTTCTTTTTTTGGTGCTGATCCTGGGGCTTGAACTCAGGCAGGGCCTGGGCTTTGTCCCTGAGCTTCTTTTGATCAAGGCTAGGGCTCTACAACTTGAGCCACATCTTCACTTCTGGCTTTTTTGGTAGTTCAGTGGAGATAAGACTCTCACTGACTTTCCTGCCTGGGCTGGCTTCAAACCTCCATCTTCAGATCTCAGCCTCTTGAGTAGCTAGGATTACAGGCGTGAGCCACTGGCACCTGGCCCTAATGTACTTTTAACTGTAACGACGTCCATACATGTCAGAATACAAAATAGGGCAGGCAGAAGTGTCCCCAAGTGTAAATTGAGCTGTGCCATCTTCTTTCTCTCTCCCCACGCTGCTGTCAGGCTCCCAGTGTCGCCATTGTACTTTCACCCACAGGTGGAGGAAGTGACGACGAAGGAGGTTAAGCTGCCCGCCGAGATAGAAGGACAGAAGATGAAACTGAGCCAGGTCCGGGCCAGGCCCTTGGCGCTGCACTGCGACATCATTGGGGATGCCTTCTGGAAGGAGCATCCCGAGATCCTGGAGGAGGACAGCTGACCCTGAGCGCTTCTGCCCGGGCAGGCTTACTCACCAAGGCGCCCCACGGCACCCCCACGGCCCCCTGCCTTGGATGGCCCTCGCTGCCTTTCCAGCCAGACGCTGCCAAGCGTGGCCTGGTGAGACACGGCTCGGGCAGGGAAGGCCCCGGGAAAGGATGGGCATGGGGGCGGCAGGTCTCGTTTGCCTGCCATGTTAGAGCATGACTTTTTTTTTTTTTCAAAATTTCAGTACTATTTTTATAAAGAAAGAACTGTATTCACGCCTTTCAGGACGAGTCATTTTTAGATTGTGGCAGAAAGATTTATAAAAAAGTTCTTTTCACCTGCGATAGAAGAAGAGCCCAAACCTGGCTCTCACCCACAGGAGGCCCCGGTGACGGGCAGCCCGCTGCGCCACCCCACGCCTGCGCCTGTCTTCGGCAGGTCTGAGGTCACACGGGTGCGTGCCGGCATGGCGCCCCTGGATTCGGGAATTCCAGGGAGATGCAGGGCTCTGTGCCAGTCTCTGAAGTGGGCACGACTGGCTGAGTTAATGAGTAGCGGCCGTGGCTACCATGTGCACATGGCAGCAATGGATTTTATGTTGATGTCATGATCTTCGTCGCCTTGCGGGGATGTGGTTTCCAAAGCCACTGACTTAGAGGTTCTGAAGAAGAGACGTGTATTCAGAGATAGGAAACATGAGAAGAAATGAGGATGAGCAGGTACTCCATGTCCTGTAGATACTTCAGTTAAAGTTGCTTTCTGGTTGGATTTTCCTGAAAAAGATTCTTAGGGAGCCTCTATATAATCGAAGCAGTAACAGAATTCAAGAGCAGAGGGGCCAGGTGTGGAGGTGCACACCTTTAATCTCAGCCACACAGGAGGCTGAGGCTGGACGATTGCCAGTGTGAGAGATCCTATGTGAAAAGAGCCTGGTGGGCATTAGTGTGTCCCTTGAGGCCCCACGTAGCCTGTGTCCGTGAAGGACTCAATAGGTCTCCCTGCTGGTGGGCCAGCAGAGATGTGCTGGCCGCAGCATTAAATCAAGGCAAGTTGATGATCTTGAAGGGTGGGGATCACAGGGTGGATGGTGAGGTGACGCACATTTCCTCCTGTCCTCCTCTCAAATTTTAGAGGAAAAGGATTATTTGCTTCCATTAAGAATTAAGAGACAGTCCACGTCCCAGTGCCTGGTCTCACATTACAGAACTGCAGCCAAGAAGAAAATGTATTTTTGAAAGAGCAATGCCTGGCCTCATCCTTCTCTTAATTGACACCCCATCTGTCCATGCCCGTTTCTTTTTTTTTTTTCCTCTTCCTGTTCTCCCACACACAGGAAGAAGAGATGCAGCTCATGTTTGGTAATTGCTCAGATCTCTTCAAGGAAAAAAAAAATTAAAAAATAAAAGATTTCAACTCTCTTGGCCTACTTATTGATTTCTTACAGTAGGTGAGTCTAACTTTTGTGTAAGTCTCTGAGAAAACCAGGGTTTTATAGACTTCAGTATGAACAAAAATTACTCAGAGAGGTACATACCTATAATCACAGCAACTCTGGTAGGCCAGAAGGATCATGGGTTCTAGGCCAGCAAAGGTAGCAAGGCTTTGCCTCAAAAACAACATGTAACAAAAGCAGTGTGTGTGTGTGTGTGTGTGCGTGCGTGCGTGTGCGTGTGTGTGCGTGTGCGTGTGTGTGTGTGTGCGTGTGTGTGTGAAGTAAGGGCATGAGAGAGTGCTTCCTAGCATGTACCAGGCTCTAGGCTCAATCCCCAGTACTGTAAAAGTAAAAAACAACAACAAATAAACCCTGAACTGCTCATTTTTAAAATACTAAGTTCAGGCTCACGAAAACTTGGGGCTCAGCAATCTGATTCTGGCTTCTGAAATATGTTTGAAAGCCAATGCCACTCTTGAGCCAAAAAGTCTCCTGATAGAGTACCTGGCAAAATAAACTAGTGTGGCTCTTGGCAGGCAAATTTAACTTAATGGTAAATTGACAGTATTTTATGCACCAAAAAAACAAGGCATTAAGGTAGCAGCTTTCTAGATAAAACCACCTTCGGGCTTTTTCTCCTTTGGGGGTCATGAAACACTATAAAGCATATCGATGGATTTTTGTCCTAAAATTCTGGACTGAGCACTCTTTTGTCTGTTTGCTCAGATTGCCAGTAATTTTTTTTTTTTTTTACAGCTTGGAGTTTTTGTTAAGGTGGTTTAAAGCAACAATACGCTGGTTTAACACCAGAAGCATCAGGATGCCAGTGTGTGTGTGGGGGGAGTGAGATAGTTTTTAATCTGTGGTGGTTTGCATCTTTTCCGATATGCATTTCACAGATGTGTATCGATCTTCATCTTGCTTTGGAAGACACTCTAGAGAGGAACTAGAATCTACACACCAGCAACCACTGAGAGTCAGAGTCGGAGCAGTGAGCCTGCAGGGGACTGGAAGCAGCTCCAGAGGAGGTGGTAATGTCTAGAGGAGACTCGCTTTCGTAGAAGAACAGTTTCACTGCATCGAGGAGGCTATTAGGTAGAAGCGGTATGGGTTCGCTCTTGGGAGTCCTGGTTTCTTCTAGATGTTCAGCAATGTTCAGGAAGTAGTGATAAAATGAATTTCCTTTGCTACTGAAAATCGTCGGGTCTTAGTACAGGTTTCTTCCACGCACACATAAAGGAAATGGGGGCTTGGATCTCCCAGCCTTGAATGGTTCCACTGCACACTTAGACAGTACTGGCAAACAGAAGGTTATCGAATGGTCTGCGTGCGGTAGCTCTGTACAGCTCCACGAAGTGGATCGTACTTCAGACGGGCAGCCCAGAGAGGCCAAATAACTTGGGCCTAGGTAGGTTTGCCCTCCCCGACCAAACCGTCGTCCTCTTCCGGCCCCTACCCTCAAGCTTAGGCATCGGTTGCAGTTTTAGGGAGTAGAGGATGTTAAAGGCCAGCCTCGTCATCAGTGTTAGAGTCTAAGCATCAGCGGCGCGCACCTGCCAGTGCGGTTGGGGGCGGAGCCAGAGGGGCAGGTAGCAGTCTCAGGCCACGCCCCCGCGCAAATCGTGGCCACGCCCACACCGTCCGGGTCCCCGCGCGGACCCCTGCTGCCCTCTGGCGGCCGCGCCTGCGCAGTGCGGCCCGATGCCGCGTCTGCGCAGTGCCGCCCTCTGGCGGCCCCGCGCCTTCCTCCCATCGGCCTCGGCTTGCGGGCCTTTCAAACATGGAGGAGCGCGAGTGGGGGGCGAGGTCGGCGCTGGCGGGGAGCCCCGCGAACCCGCCGAGCCCGCGGCTGGATGTCAGCTCGGACAGCTTCGACCCGCTGCTGGCCCTCTACGCGCCCTCCCTGCCGCCCATCCCCTACCCCAACGCGCCCTGCTTCAACAACGTGGCGGAGTACGAGAGCTTCCTGAGGACCGGGGTGCGGGCGGGCGGGCGCGGGGCGCGGGCGCGG